GTTTGATTTGTTTGTATTTTTGTTCAATGGGTGCCGACAAGATTTAGACACCTATGGTGCTCACCAATCCCCATTCAACCGGGGTAAACGAATATTCCTCTGTGTTAACTTGGATATATTATAGTGAGTGTGCTACATGCTGAGGCTGCTGTTACACTCATGGTGCTTCCTCACCGCAGTTGGGCTAAACCAACTTCCCCTTAAACTAGGTTTTCTAAGCTGGACAAATTTCATTCCACTTTATTTGGTTTGGTCTGCCTACATTTATACTGTTCTACTAACTTGCACTCGTTGCTTAGGCTAATTGTGCTTCTCTTGGTTAACTTTATTGCGTTTGTGGCATCTTTGCGTAACTTCTAGACATTTTGTACTTACCGCGGTTTCGTTGCTAACTAACGTACTTAATATGTTAATTTAGGGAATACTTATGTATGCATAGCCGTATTCTTTAGCGGATATAATTTATTTGATAATGTCATTTCAAGTGATTGGCTGTTGTTTGACATCTTTGATGTAGCTGTGCTTGATGTGCATATTGAAAACCTGCCTACCTGTCTATTACCCACTACCTCGTCCATACTGGTTCTAGAAGAAAGTTGGTGTTGCTGGAGGAGACGGGGTGTACCGTCTTTGTGGCCTTTCTAGCCCCGAGGAGTGGTTCCATTCAGTCAGTTTGGAGCGGACTAGGGTCCAGCCACCGCTTTGTGTGCACGTGGTTTCCCAAATACAGCGTGCTTGTGTTGACTTGTGAAGGAGTGTGGGCCGGCTCCGTTGATGAAATGTGGCTCCTATCCACATGCCTCCCGGTCTTATTCCTTCGGGTTTACGATGGACATATGGTGTGTGTTTGGAACTGCGCAAACCACCCATGGTCCCTCTGTAGGCTTAGGCGTACTGTGGCTGACCAAAATGACCGGCGTATCCGAAACCGAATGCCGCCAACCATATAGTGAGTCCACTGATGAGTGTTTCACTTCAGTGCAACGTATTTGCTTGCACATATGTAATGAACAAGGAAATTGTAAACCCTTAGCTTTTTACCCCGTACTAGAGAATTGTTCTATTGTCCATTAGTTTTTACTGGGTTATCATGAAGCGGGATTTCTCAATCTTGTTTCAGAACGATCTCGGCTGCTTCGAACAATGTGGAGAAAGGTAGAATTTAGGCAAACAACCTGTCGAACCTTTGCGCACAGCGGTTTTTTGTCTCTAGGGTTACTCAGTGTTTCTACAACTGCTTAACGCCTACGTGCGACCCCAAGTGTTCTATCCATGGCAGAGTCACGATGTCGCCATTCGCACGACTTCGCACCGAAGGACATATGCCACTGTTAAAGGCTTTTCCAGCTATCCAACCAAGTTAGAGCAAAAGCCCTAGAAAGCTATAGCTATCGGGATGTATAACTTCGGCAGACCTCATAATTTCTTACCAAGTCCTGAATAAATGAAACCAATATTCTACCCCTTCTAGGGACTCAGTCAATAAAATAAGCTCAGAGGCTATCGTCAAAACATGATAACTCAATAAACCAGCGAAAAGGCCATATAATATTCTTCTACTTTTAGCCTGCCAACCGTGAAATACCAGGTACCTCGTACGTTATTTAACTAAAGAAACAAATAGTTTTATTCTCGAGGAAACGAGACTATTACTTGCATGATCGAGTGGTTGACAAAGCCACAGAACCACTGTAAGCGTATGCAAATCAAACGTTGGCAAAAACCATGGCTCGGAAAATTGTTCATAATTCTCGTATATAAGTGTTACGAAAATAAGGAGCATGTTCATTGGTGTCAGACAGAAAAGTGGCGCCGAAGTGCGGTCAAATCTAAAAGCGTTTCGGTTTATGAAAAATCTGGGTAAGGGGGTGCGTTTGAAGGGCTCCGGACTTCGATCTTCATTTTGTCGCGGACGCAGGAACCCGAGAGAATATTTGATAAATACTGCTTAACGAAAGGTAAAAGCTTCTGCGTAAAATGCAATGGCAATAATTCATGTGTTCAAGCGCTGCAGTGGTAATAAGTTTCGGATATTTTGATCAATACCAGTATGAAGCAGTGGGCAGTGACATTATTATTGTGGCGAGGCACATCTGCCACGTCACAGCGTTGGTAAACAGATATTTGTGGCATTTTATAGGAAGAAAGCGTGCCAGGCGCGAACGCACCACGTTCTGGAACACTTACGGACATGTAAAAAAACAAAGACACATTGCGCAATGCACATAGAACGTTTGTCATGCGGCCACCTACCGCATGAAAAGCTTGGTTCTCAAATTCTAACCAACTGGAGGTGTATACGAATCAATATCAAAATCATTTCAGGTTTAGTAATTTGTTAAGTAGACTCACATCAGACCTTAAGGTTCACATAGCGCTGATTGTGGGGAAAGCGTCAACTCGGGTTGGAATTGACTTCTGGGCTGTTTGATTAGTTAAACTCAATAAGTTGAGACAACGATATAGATGATAGCCAAGGAAACTAACGTAACATGCATCCACCAAGCTTCGTATTCCGAAGTAATTAGGAAACGTAACAAGCAAATATCTAAGTAACTGTGTCAGTTGGCTGCGGCAGTAGTATCGGCCGTATGAATCGCTTTTGTACACAATTCTGGCTTTAGATGGTGGATGTAGATAGCCTCGGCGATGGATAAGAGCTGTTTGCGCAACCTTGGGAGAAGTATTCAGGTAGGGAGTAGATGACATTGAAGTCGTTCTCGGGAGTTGTATGGCCACAGCCAAGGAGGTGCGACATGACTGAGCTGTCTGAGGATCTCATTTTGCCTCTGGAAAACCATGCCGGGAGGTGCCCATGAATTCTCTGAGATAGGCGCCTCGTATTGCGATCCGCTTATGGTGCACCACGGGAGCACCGGCACTGATAAACAATCCTTGAACAGGCCATGCAGTGCAATACCGCACTGCAGCCATTCAAGTTTATCCTCTTACTGTGCTCCTCTACTTTTATCGAATATGGATCTATGATTTTTGCTGGACATAAATTGCAGTACTGGCCGTGCGTCCGGTGCACTGCGCTAGTAATGTGCTTACATGTCTTCGGAGTAAAGCTGAAGTTGGGGTGCACTTCTAGTGGACGTCCATTTTCCAGCTGAGGTAAAATGCGGTAATAAAAGCAAAAACCCTGAAGCATAATTGCAAGGCTGCTGGTAACTCCCTGGGTCAGCTCAACGGTACAACATTCAACATTACCCAGACTGGTCTTACCGGTACATTCTAAGGGTATGGTTGTTTCAAACGATTACCCCAAATGATTTGATAAGCAAAGCAACAGTAGAGCTGGTAGATTTGCAAGTTCAACGCTAACTTGGAAGCTGCGTTATTTGTTTTAGTGCGATTACCTAATTCATCCGCCCCTTTTCTATGGTGAGTTTGCCTTAGGCTCATGGCAGTCAATTAACTAAGCAGAAATACCAATCAGCTCTGAACCAGATGTACTTGTCTATTAATCTAATCTAATGGGAAGATCTTGAACCAGTGCAAGAAGATTCGTCACATACAAAATTGTACAGTCCACCACCCATATTTCCGGGAAAAATGTAAAGTTTTCGTTTGGTTCATCGCAATTATATGACAAGTCACAAGGGTAAGCTACCTATCTCGGAAAGACCCAGGCAATCGTTGCGCCCTACTGAGGCTTGTCGGTGATGCACGTTCCTTTGCTCGTTTGTTTGGGATGGAACCAATGACCCCCAGAAGCTTGCGTCAACTAGGAAGCAGCTTATGCCACTAAACAATGGGGGACGATAGCCGACCATCACGAATCAAATCTAGCTGCGGTATAGGCTGACCGATGTACCGTTGCCTTGCAGATTACTGTCCGTACAGAACACAGCGTTTGACTTTCCGGGTCAGGAACACCCTTGCTGTTGCCGTGAAACCACACAGCATTTTGAGGACAGCTAGGGTTTAGTTTTTGATTACTGATGTGTTGTGTGACTAATTGATAGTGTGCATCTTACCTATGTCTTATAAAGATGGAGCTTATGGCTATAATCTTAAAAGGCTCTATCGTATATCGGTGCTCCAAGGGTGACAGCGTTGGGCTATTACGACTGTCTGCTAGCTGTAGCATAGCATGTCCCCTCCGCTGCTTGCAAATACAATTCTAAAGTGCATATGGACAGGGTCAAGCCAATAGCCCGACTACTTTTCTAACGGAAGCTCTACTGCCGACCGATACTCCTTTATGTTGATCTACGGCTGGCAGCTACGGTTCAGTGGATTAGGTAAGTGTCTCAGAGGAGGAGAGTCGCAGGTTAAAATCCTGTAGTATTCAAGAGAGGTTCCCGATGCTAACAATATGGTGAACAGGCAGTTAGGCAAATAGAAACTGGGTGTTGCCCGCCCGAAAACACTGCACTACCACGACGCGTTTCGATGTTATTATATCTCATCAGATAGAGTTAGCAGGCATCGAACCCGGCTTAGGGGTAGCGGTCACAACTCACATCCCGATGGTCCCGGGTTCGGCGCCTGCTAACTCTATCTGATAAGATGTAATAACATTGAAACGCGTCATAGTAGTGCAGTGTTTTCGGGCGGGCAACACCCAATTTCTATTTGTACCAGCTATGGTCCTCGTGATCGAAAGACCAAGGTTCACTTCAATGGGAATTGCGGTCAACATTGAGATTGCGCGTCGCAATCATTCCACACAACGTGTACTTCAAAATGACGCTCAACAGGCAGTTAGGCACTTTCTAGTGACGTGGCGTCTGACTGGCTGGATAGAGTTGCAACGAATATCCGCAAACATTGGCGAGGCTGAATAGTTCTCCGTTACTTCATACCTACGTATATAGCCTACTCCCGCTCACAGGAATAACTAAAGCATTCTAATTCGTATGCGCAGGTGGTATAAAACTGTTCTGTTTCTTGGATACAAACACGCAATCCATAACCCTTAAGAAGGGTAAGCAAAGGCCTTGCAACATAGAAAGGCATTTATTGTAAAGCATTCCGCCATACATCTTGTATTATTCGAGCGTCAGTACACAGTCGTTGTCATAGTGGTGTTTAACCGGATCCAGGTATTCAGAAATCCCGCAATCTTGAGTTGCGCATTCGGTCAACTGGTATCTACACTCATCTAAGCATCCGTCTTCGTGTGGGTGGAAGATACCACATTCTTCAGCACAATGACGAGCTTTCTGGCTACACATCAAGCAGCAGTGAAGTGAGTCGTTGTCTCCTGGTTCCACTGCTGCGAAGCACAATCCACATATTGCCGCCATCAACAGAATCTGGGTAAGGTTGAAAAAGAACGTAGAATCAGTTGGAGTAATAGGTGAAGGACTCTTGCTAGCGATAGCAGAAATAAGCAAGTGGGTTCAGAGTGTAGGAATGGTCAACGCTACTCATGCGAAATATTGCTTAAGTGGTGTTGTTTTGATAGCCCAGTTCGTTTATAATCGCAATTTTACGAGTTAGCATGTTATTGGGTGCAGTAGGTTACATTTCTGATGTTACAAAGTACCAGAAAAGCTGAATTTTATGGTAAATATACCAATCGTGGGTGGATTAGTTACACCAAACCAAGAACCAACTCATTTTTAAACCACAACTTACCCATACACACATGGAACGGTTTTAGCTACAAACTAAAGTATGAGCTAAAAACAGCTAGACCCAGCAAATCAGACAGCGTGTATTCAGAACGCACCGAGGACAGTTTCATGCTCTCGGGAAGCGTTAGCATTGCGTATTTTACATTTACCCTGGAGAGGCAAAAATAGAAACACGGACTTTATTCTTCAGTGTTTTTGCCCATTGGATCAGAGAGAGGTCTATAGATGATAAGACTAAGTACTTAGATTAGCGCAAGGCGACCCCGACGCCTAATGTTCAGCCGTCCACTAAGCCGTGTGTCACTTCCATTTCGAACGCTTTACACACCTAGACCAACAACAGTCTTCTAACACTGTGATCAACGTAAAGGAAAAGCAGATAATAAAGAAAAACGAAAGAAATTTGTGTGAAATAACTCGAACTTGCTACAACGTTATGCAGTTAGACTGAAATTACGTATTAAGCGTGACACTGGAAGGCGTTTTTGTTGTAACAAACCCATGAACGCTGTAGTATCATTTCAGGTAACCAGACCAGATAAACTCAGGCGGAGTGACTATTCAGCAAATACACACTTAACTATCGGCGACCTACTCCGGAGTGATATCCTCAATGTTTCTTGCACCTCGCAGATCCCACTGGTGATCCCATACTATATCAATGTACTGCTGTCACCAGCCATTACACCATCAAACCGATGGGAAGTGGACGTTGTGGTGAATTATGGTGCAGACTGTGACTAGATACTGCAATGATATTTACTAGTTCTGCATCGCGGGCTTTGTTGTGTCACAGGCTTTTTCACGTACCACGTATTTCTAATAACGCTATCCTCTCAACATATTCCTCGTTCTCCTACGGTCTCGAATCTTGGTGATTATCTGGTCACAACTAGATTGAGGTTCTCCGGGACACCAGTAATGAGCAATGTTTAAAATGCAGTACAGTGCAAACGACCACTGGGATACCAGTAACACATTAGATGGGATTTGAGCTCCCTATCCGTTGTCACTAAACCAACATGCACTGCAGACTGTGGAGGTGTGAGATCATTCCTCTTCACTTACTTTTAAGACACTGGTGCTTGTTCCGTGTTTCAAAAATTTCGACCAGCATTGCGATCAGTAAGTTTGCCAAAAGCTAAACTTATGTTTCCATCTACATTCTCATTAATGGAGAATCTAGCGTTGTGGTTGGCTGAGTGCACAAGGCCCCATCCCATAGTACCGTCTTCCAACCTGTGTAAACCTTAACTGACCACAAAAGTGAGCAGTCTAAACCGGCGGATTCTCTCCCCGATACCATTAGTCATTTATGTATAGGGTTCCGTACTGAAAGTTGATTACATTTGCCCGTTTCAGCATAGCATACTGGTAGGAGTAATACCAAAGCTTTTACAGAGTCTTTGAGTAGAGTCTCAAGGAACGGCAAGGCGAAATAGGCTTGACGTGTAATAACTATGCAAACAATGGCTAAACAGTGGCAGTAGAAACAGCACAAATAGAAAGAAACTCAGTTTAAAAGATAAAATATGCTCCTCTAACACAGACCATTAGGAAAACTCCTAAACAACGTAGTATTTGGTACAAAATGGTGCTCATGCGTGAACCAGACATTATTGCTACCAGAAATGTGTTATTTAAGAAGACAATGGCGACTTAAACTCGTACTCTTAGCGCATTATGGCACGTAGTAGGGCGTCGTATTCGCATTCAATAAACTTGAGAAACGCCGCAACAATCACTGACACTTAGAATGTGTTTGATTGTTGTGGGAAGTTAATCGACCTTTAAGGACTGAGGTCATTATCGATAATGCACACAATAAATATTCATAGCAGCTTGTACAATAGTCATCGTTTAGAAGGATTCTTCCAAACATATGGGTATAATATAGTGAAATGCTTTGTATGACGAAATTTTATATGACAAAACTCACACGGAATATGCTGATCCACATCCTAGGCCAGATGTTTGCGTTTGTATAGTACAGCTCTTCAGATACTTTTTGTTAGCTTTTGAAATTCAGTGAAATAGCGTTTGCTGTCACAGTCCGCTGAAGGAATCTAAACGACGACAGACCGTTCGTTATCGTGTTGCGCTACCTAGAGATATAACGGATGAACTTAATCTCCAAAATGGTGGCCGATAGGTTAACTAGATTTAGAGAAATCTCATTGCTGTGGTGATCTGAGATAGCCGTGTGCTAGGTGCGAATTAAAGATGTGACAGCGGTGCGTAGGCACACGCGCTCACACACGTTGTTGTGGTGCCTATCCTTGGACCATACGGTTTTAGAGTCACTAGACCAACCCTGAGAATCTGTGTGTGCCACACAGATGAGAGAGCGACAAATAGATTATTTTCAGCGCAAATCAGAAGATGTGTAGAGATGGATAGCATGTCTGCTGAAAGTCACCCGGTTCCTAACTAGTTTCCTAAAGTCGCTTTTCCAATGCCAAGTCAAAATGTTTAACTACATTAAGTGATGTTCTAACCCAAGCGGAAAATTAATGGGGTGTATTTGAGGGGAGCAAAATGCTCATCTCTTTCTGTGTAGCCATGCGGTTTCATACACTCTAAATACGTAGTGTGAAACATAAGTCCTAATTAACTCTAACTACTATAGGGTGGAAAGCATGCCATACTTCATGTGATCACCCAGCGTACTAAAACTTACTAGCAAATAGAATATTTTGGGTTCTACAAGACATAAAGCTTGAATTCTACACAGATATTACTGAATAATAAGTGAGACTGTGTACGTTGGAAACACTAATTCCGCTGTCGGATATACGTGCGACAGTTTTATAAGATGTTTCCAAAGCAGCGCTACCATGTTCCAATCGTCAAAAGCGATGCACTTCCGGCCTGATGTTTATGAAATGGATTCGCATCTAAATGAGTGAATAACAACAAAGCAACTAACTGGACGCCCAACAAGGCGACCAGCTTTCTCAAATCCGTTCTGGTACCTTGAATAAGTCACATACTTGGTACCAGGGGGGTAAACTGACCCATGATTTATGACCAGAACTGCAACGCTTTTTGCAATCTTTTGTTTTCCCCCGGCTGTAGGAAACATTTTACTGTTGACGTTGGTTACCCAATCTCGTAGTATGCTCTTCGTGCACACAACTATCGTACCGGTCACAGACTAATTTAGTTTTAGTGTTAAGTCATCTGAAACACATGTAGCATAGCATATAGCATATCTTTCCTGAATGAAACTACGTGGTGCTTGCGGCTAAAGTACGGACCTCTGGTGCAATGCCACCACTGCGGACAACCTGTTGGTCACCTTTCGGTGTGTGTTACAATTTGGAACAATGAGTCCAGTTAATCCCATTACCGAACGCAGAAAAAAGCCATAAGTCGCGAAATGGTAACATTTCAATTGCTGTCATCTGCCGCGAACGCAATACAAGTAGGAATCAACAGAACATGTGGAGCCAACACGTGTCCATATGTCTCCCTGTGGAGTATTTGAGTGATCTAATTCTGTTTCGCATACAGAATTTACGGTTTGAGTTTGAAGGGACTGCGCACAAGCGAATTGACATGGTTGCAATGGGTAGCCCGTTAGGACCAGTATTGAGGGACATTTTTTGGGCCTGATCGAAATAAAAATTGCTACCACTCTCACCGAAGAGAAGCTGTAGAAGCGCTACGTGGTTGACACACTAGTCTTTGTTGTTGGCAAGCATTTTGAGGGGCTTGATGCACTCTTTATTTCCGCACACTAATCTCTCTGCGACACATAAGATCGAACAGCAACGCAGGCTACTATTTTTGGATGTGCTCATTAAGAGGCTGAAGGGTGGCACATTTCAGCTCACCGTCTTTCAAAAACCACTTGGAGTGGGCAGCAGCTGCAATTCGCTAGCTTTGCTCCAGTTGCACACAAATGCGACCAAGTCAAAAGCCTCTTCTAAAGAGCCAAACTAATTCCCTCTACAGCCACACTTAAGGTCGAAGACAGTTTTTACATAAGACTCCGTTGTTGGATGGGTACCTGGACAGTTTCATCCAGGCTCATAGCCGACCGCCCAGGGAGAAATCAATGGTGCAAACAGCAGAGAAGGATTACTTGTTTCTACCGTTTAAAGAAGATTATTTAGCCAATAACATCAGGTATAAGATAAGATCTGGCCCTAGTGTACTTACTCCAACGCCTAGTTGCAGCTGCTCCACAACGTGTGAAGACTGGGTCTTAATGACCATCCGAAAGGCGTGTCAGGCAGTGCGGCTTCACATGCCGTCTACCGGTACAGCTGCAGTTATGGTGACCCTTATATAGACAGCACTGACTGTAGACTAGCCCTTAGGATGGCGGAGCACCTACGAACTTGGCTGCGGTGTGTTGGCGCCAACAACTGGTGCGGAGAAACTAATTAATGGCAATCCTGCCTCGTCCATTGCGAGGCACCTCGTAATGACTCGTCCATCACTTGGATAAATCGATCGCGTTCAAAATACAGGTACGCGATCCGAACCCAAAAGACTGGCTATCACGGGTTTTACTGATCACGAAGAATCGCCCAGCGTTGTGTGCACAGAAGCAACATGCAATCTGTTAGATTGCTTTGACGTTGATGAATCATTTTGTTTCAGTTTTGGTTCCACGTGTTCACTTCTGTTGATTCCTAATTGTATTGTATTCGCGGCTGATGGGAGTAATTTAAATGTCAACATTTCACGATTTATCTCTTTTTTTTCTGCGCTCGGTAAATGTGTTACAATTACTAGCGCGGCTAATACCTATCAGTAGTTGTGTTTCTGTTTATTATCGTAATTATTGGGAGAAAATCTAAAACATTCTGTTTTGGGACTTGGCAACCCAGTTCATGAGTACCGGGTCGCGCAAAAATTCTGAAAGAACTCGTACTGTCGGCCAGTACGTATATTTTGATACCATATTTACCTAGTATCTTTGGTAAGTATTGCTTGAAACTGCCTTTTTGACAAAACAAATCTAACATCATGTAATTTGTTTGCATGATTTTAAATTTTGGTTGTTCCACGTTCCAATCTTTGTTCTCACGGGATGGCGGAAAAATAAATCAAGCGTTTTCAAGGGTGTCTGTTTGAAGTCCATTCACTTTCGGCTGTGGTTCCTATCGGCCAACTTTTGGCATCAAGTTTGCTATGACACTTCGACTTCCATGGATAACATAATTCTTTTTTAACATATATTCCCAGACTATGGTCATGCTTGATATCATTTTACGGTTGTGATTCCTTAGTTATTATTTCACTGATGACATCTGATTATTTGTCACTAGCTTAGCTAACACATTCATCCCAACTCCAATCACCTACATTATCATTAATTATTAACACTATCCACCTCAATTAGACGACCTGAAGACTGCAGAGGTTTGATGGGGAAAGTCCTTGCCGTATCACTATTGTTACACTCTACAAATAAGAAAAATTACCTCCATCACACTAGGGTACTATGGGGCCAATTTGACCCTAAACGAAAATAAACCAAATTATAAATAACCATGGTTGCTGGCATCCGGCTTCGGATTTGCCTGTCACTGTGGCCAGGCACAGGACGCCTGCGCCTGCAGAGGGACCATGGGTGGCTTGCGCTGCACCACCCACAGCTCCATCCACACACCACATATCCAGTGTAAACCCGAAGGAATAAGACTGGGAGGCATGTGGATGGGAGCCACGTTTCATCAACGGAGCCGGCCCACACTCCTTCACAGGCAAAAACAAGCACGCTGTATTTGAGAGTCAAGCGCACACAAGGCGGTGGCTCGACCGTAGTCTGCTCTACACTGAGTACATGGAACCAATCTTTGATCCTAACACGGCCACAAGGACCAAGCACCCCGTCCCCTCCAGCAACGACAAACTGTCTCCTAGAGGCAGTATGGACAAGGTGGTGGGTAACAGACAGGTAGGCACTTTGTCAACATGTACATCAAGCGCAGCAACACCGGGGATATCAAGCAACGGACAATCAGTTGAGAGAAATATACCAAAGAAAAAAAATCGAGTAATGCATAAGGAAACGTGACAAAAATTTTAAATTAATGAGTATATGAAATAAGTTGTTTACAAAGGATCCGAGATAAGTTCACGAGGTCAGAAAGTATATGTTACGGAAATGACACAAACACGAAAATGTTATCGAAATTAACTACAATTGGCTTAGGCGACGTGTGCAAGTTCATAGAAGAGCGTACAGGTAGACATGTTTATGAGAAAGATAAGCATTAGGACAAAACTGAAAACCCACCACCTGAAATAAAGAGACTTAGCATGCAAGGACGCCGTTAGTAAACCGAATGCAGCGTACCTACAAACGCTGCGCCGGTTCTGCCTACGTTCTCTGCAGGACCCGTCGTCGCTTCGTTAGTGGTCCTGAGTGGCCTCGCTCAAGGCTCACTAAGCCTGCCTGACTCCGGCACTCGCGACCGCATGTACTACAGCACCATGCGCTTGATGTCGATGGAGTACAACCCATTGGTGCTTGCCGCTTTCGCACTTGCCGCTTCTTCTCTGCATGTATGAGGTCTTTCTCCTGCACTTCGGCAACTGCCTTCATGAGTAGATCGTGCCGTGCACGTCGATCAGCCGCCTTGGATTCCCAGGATCTGTAATCAAGATTAGAACGTGTGGGACTCACTTTAATCATGTCCTGGTAAGGTAACTTTGGTTTCCCCACACGCCGCTTCCCAATACTCAGCTGACCGTATAAGAGTTGTTTAGGTATCCGCGTCGAATCCATTTGCCACACATGACCGAGCCATTTATGTGTCTCAGTAAAAGGATGCAGTCCACTGCATACACACCACTTTGTCGCAACACTTCCGTGTCCGCAAGCGTTACCCCAACCGATGCGCAAAATCCGTCGCAAACGCTGCTGATGGAACCGCTCGAGATATTGCACATCCCGACGGTACATCGTCCATATTTCAATGCCGTATAGAAGAACGG